TTAACTATTTCTTATGATTTTAAATCTGCATTGAACTTCAGATCAATCTCAAAGTAAAAGGCGGTACTAAAGTCTGATTTTGTGGTGGATGTGTTCAAATGTGATCATCTTAATTCAAGTGAGGAAGGATTTTGAAAGTCTGACAGTGTTGAGCACTACTGTAAGCTTAACCCTGCATGGTGTAAATGTTTGAAAATGATTAACAGTTGCAAATAAACATTCATTAGGAATTTAGAAAAGTAATCAAAAAGTAATCAGTTACGTTACTTTAATAAAGTAATTGAAAAAGTTACACTTGTAATCTGTAACCTGTTACATTTCCAAAGTAACCTTCCCAACACTGCTCATGTCAGAATTTGCATAATTATGAGACGGTTCGTCAGAATTCATTCTGAGCTCTTCACGTCCTTGGACTTAGAGATGATTGGTTTCTATGGCAACGCTCATAATGCTCATGGATTCATGCTGATTCGTCATCATTAGAGGCTCGTGTATTAATCTACTTCATGCTTTTTGCCTGCATTGTGAGCTGTGAATATAGTGAAGTATGAAGTATTCCTGCAGCTCAAGCAGTAGATCATGACGCTCGCAACGGCAAGGTCACGGGTTCGATTCCCAGGAATGCATGAACTGATCTAATGTATAGCTTGAGTGCAATAAAAGGCTCTTTGGCTAAATGAATAAATGTAAATCTGTTTTTATTTTTCTTAAAATCCAATTCTGTGTTTTCTGTTTACATTTTTCTAATTCTCTTTAACAGGATAATTAATTTTTAATAATCAAAAAACATTTCAAAACAATTGAATTAATAAAACTTTAACAATCTTTTGAAATATAATCAGATGAAAATATAGCAATTCATTTACAACAGAACATTGCATTTTTTGTCAAAGAAAATTTTATCAATCATTTTTGCTACTGACAGACTTTATATTTCAGAAACAGTCACAGCCGCTCGTTCATACCATTGCACAGCCCTACTTTTGATTTATTCATCTGAATAGACACATTTTGTGGCATTCCATGTTTTACAGTAAAGGATGACGTGAATGAGGCTGATGTGTGTGTGTTTCTTCACTGACTGATTGCTTTGACATGCACCTGCTTGTCCTGTCGGAAAATTAAGGCAACATTAAGAAATAGCTCTAATTAAAAATAGGATGCACACATTCACACACACACACACACACACACACACACACACACACACACACACACACACTCACAGTCACACTCACACACACACACACTCACACACAGGTTGACCGCAGCAGGGTTTCCTCCTGTTGTCGTGGTGACGGTTGCTAGGCAGCTGATGCCCAGAGTTCCCCAGAGAGCAGCAGATCTGAGCTGAGCTATATTTGTCTCCATCATGTCAGTCTTGAGCACAGGAGAGATAAACATAGCGTGCGATGCGCCGCGGCCTCATTCACAAAACACACAGGCGCGCTCATACAGAGACCATTACATTAGCACAGTGTCGGTGCATCAGTGTGTTTTAAGACACTAGTGTATTGAGAGACGTTGCAGTCAGGTGTTCTCCTGTTTCAGAGGAATCAGAGACTGAAGGTCATTGATGATGATGTAATCAATCACACGATTCAACATGAGGCTCTTTGTGTTTCATTGCTGCTGTATTTGACCAGCGCTGTTAGAAATTAATGCGATGAGACAGCGGCCGGAAAATCTCCTTGACAGTATGAAAGATTCCTTGGGAGAAACCAAAGGAGAGATCTGGCCCACATAAACAACTGTGTCCCGAAAATGGACTAACCCTAATCACAACTCTTTCTGTATTTATTGATGCACATTTTATTTTATTATTAATTTAAGCCTCATCCCACCACTAACATTAATTATTCTACCTAGAAGTAGTCTGTGTGGACTTTATTATTTATTTAGGTTTGATTTCAATATTAATTCTAAGCTTTAATACCTGAAGGTACCTTTGGATTCTACATTTCTTTTAAAATATAAATTTTTTTTGCTTGGATTCAGGGTTTTTATAGTTAACTAAAGACCTTAGTTGTTAACAAATTTATGAATTTTTTTTATGAAAAATTAAAACATTTTGTTATTGAAATAAAATAAACTGAAATAAAACAAAATATAAAAAACTGAAACTTATTTTATTTCAGATAGTTTCCAAGGCTACATTTCAGTACTAAAACTAAAACTGAAACAAAAAATAATAAAAGCTATATAGACATATTTAAAGACAACAAAAATTGACAAAACAAGCAACAAAATGACTAAAACTTGAAATTAACATGAAAGCAGAAATATAAAATAAAATCTCATTCAAAATATTAACAAAAGCTTTAACAGTATCACAATGAAACTATAACAACACTAATTGAAATTGGTGTGACTTTAGTATTAATTGTACACTAGTGTTCAAAAGTTTGAATGTGTTTTAAAGAAGTCTCTTCTGCTCATCAAGGCTGCATTTCTTTGATCAAAAATACAGAAAAAACTGTAATATTGTGAAATATTATTGCAATTTAAAATAATGGTTTTCAATTTTAATATCTGTTAAACTGTAATGTATTTCTGTGATGCGCAGCTGTATTTTCAGCATCATTCCTCCAGTCTTCAGTGTCACATGATCTTCAGAAATCAGTATAATATGCTGATAAACATTTCTGATTATTATCAATGTTGAAAACAGTTGTGCTGCACGATATTTTTTTTGGAACCTGTCATACTTTTTTCAGGATTATTTGATGAATAACTTTAAAAAGAATAGCATTTATTTAAAATAGAAATTAATTAATTATTATTTATTTATTAAATAATAAAAAATTAAATTAAATTATCTTTGATCAAAAATACAGAAAAAACTGTAATATTGTGAAACATTATTGCAATTTAAAATAATGGTTTTCAATTTTAATATCTGTTAAACTGTAATGTATTTCTGTGATGCGCAGCTGTATTTTCAGCATCATTCCTCCAGTCTTCAGTGTCACATGATCTTCAGAAATCAGTATAATATGCTGATAAACATTTCTGATTATTATCAATGTTGAAAACAGTTGTGCTGCACGATATTTTTTTGGAAACCGAGATGCAGTTTATCTTTCAGGATTCACAGATAAATAGAAAGTTCAAAAGAACAGCGTTTATTTGTGTATTTTCAGCATCATTCCTCCAGTCTTCAGTGTCACATGATCTTCAGAAATCAGTATAATATGCTGATAAACATTTCTGATTATTATCAATGTTGAAAACAGTTGTGCTGCACGATATTTTTTTTGGAACCTGTCATACTTTTTTCAGGATTATTTGATGAATAACTTTAAAAAGAATAGCATTTATTTAAAATAGAAATTAATTAATTATTATTTATTTATTAAATAATAAAAAATTAAATTAAATTAAAAGAATTAAATAATATTAATTATTTATTATATATGTATTATTTGTATTTATTTATTTGTTGTTGTCTTTGATTCTTATGGGAATTGGCGATTTTTTTTTTTGTATGAAAAGAGTTGAACATTGCCAGTGTCAATAAATGAAGGTGTATCAATCATCTTTATATAAACATTTTTCCCCAAACCCTAAACTGACCTGATGAAGCTCAAGCATTAATTAACGATGCAGTGTGGATGCAGTCGTTTACTGTCCGCTGTGTGATCTGTGTTTCAGAACGACACGTGGGGCATCCAATACACGTATGCACTGTTTAAGGCCATGAGTCACATGCTGTGCATCGGTTACGGCGCTCAGGCTCCAGAGGGAATGACAGACGTCTGGCTCACGATGCTCAGCATGATCGTGGGTGCGACCTGCTACGCCATGTTCATCGGCCACGCCACGGCCCTCATCCAGTCCCTGGACTCCTCACGCCGACAGTACCAGGAGAAGGTAAAGCCCTGGACGATGTTGATCTCTGGTGACTTCATGAATAAATCGTCATTAAATCTATTCCATAATTCCCAATCAGTCTGATGTGCGGTCGTTCTGACTAACGGAGTGCATCTGATGTCCAGTATAAGCAGGTGGAGCAGTACATGTCATTCCATAAGCTTCCAGCAGATGTCAGGCAGAAGATCCACGAGTATTATGAACACCGATACCAGGGCAAGATGTTTGACGAGGATAACATTCTGGGAGAGCTAAGCGAGCCCTTAAAGGAGGTTTGTTATCTACACATGCACTAAACTCGTGGATGCCGAAAGTTTACTTCTCAGCTCTTTTCATGCATTAGGTTGATACTCTTTGTGTTTTCAGACACAAGCAGATATCGCAGGACTATTTTAGTTTATATTTGAATCTAATGAAAACATCAGCAGTGTTGTGGTAGCAACTGCTAGTAGGTAGGAGTGAGTTTTTGCATTTTACAAACTTTAACCTGCTAATTAATGTTGTGACCTTAACAGGAAATTGTTAGCTTCAACTGCCGATGCTTGGTGGCTAACATGCCTCTCTTCGCTAACGCCGACCCAAACTTCGTAACAGCAGTGCTAACGAAGCTGAAGTTTGAGGTGTTCCAGCCCAATGACTTCATCATTCGTGAGGGAACCGTTGGCCGTAAGATGTATTTCATCCAGCATGGACGGGTCAGTGTACTTACTCGTGGAAGCAAGGAGACCAAGCTCAGCGATGGGTCATACTTTGGAGGTGAGTTTATAAGCTGATTGTGAAGTGGCTGATGTCAATATTTGTTATGAGCTCTTCAGAACCAGGTTTATTGTCCTATAGATTCCTTTCTAACCTCCTCGTGGTGTTTCTCTATCCCTCAGAGATCTGTCTGTTGACTCGTGGCAGGAGGACAGCTAGTGTCCGAGCAGATACATACTGTAGACTTTACTCCCTCAGTGTGGACAGTTTCAATGAGGTTCTGGAAGAGCATCCCATGATGAGACGGGCCTTCGAGACGGTGGCGGTGGACAGACTTGATCGCATCGGTAAAACCTTCCTACCTTCCTGCTCCTTTTGCGAATTTTGTAGTTAAAGAGAGACGATCTGTAAAAAATCTGTCATCATTTACTCACCTTCATGTCATTCCAAATCTGTATCCCAGATCTTTACGGTACAAAGAAAGTGAATGGGAACTGACAAAAATGAGAAAATAACACCATAAAATGAGTCCATATGAGACGTGAGCAAATAAATCAGACAGAATTTTCAGTTTTGATTGATATATTCCTTTAATTTTGTGTCTGTGTTAATTTGACGTCCACATTAATAACCATATTCAGTTATTTCCTTTCTGTCCTAACCCTATTCTGAATTACGTTATTTCACAGGTAAGAAGAACTCGATTTTGTTGCGCAAGACCTCACAGGGAGGATCTGTAGCGGGCAGCAGTTTGGGACGGGGTGGAGGGAGCCGCGGAGGAGGAGCAGGAGGCGCCGGTATGGGTTCTTGCGACAGTGTTCTGGTCCAGCAGATCGTGAAGCACGATAGCATGCCTGCCATGCAGGACATCACCGCTGGCACCCGAGGCAGCACGGGAGGCACAGTCTCACCCCGACCTCATCCGGTGATCTGGGCACCTCTGGTCCATGCTCCCCTCCAGACGGCCGCTGCTACCACCAACGTGGCCATTGCCTTGATGCATCAGCAACAGCAGCAGCAACAGTTGCAGCAGCAGCTACAACAGCAACACGCCCTTGGAGCTGCCATCTTCCTTCCCTCCGCTTTTCCCATCTCACCATCACCTTCACCCTGCCCGCTTTCTCCTAACCGTCCTCCCATACTACACCCTCGGCAGTCGCTCAGCTCTCTCATCAGCGTAATGGGCGGGATGCCCCCCCGAGGAGTCCTGTCCTCTGTAACTCCTACACCCTCGCCCTCCACTATTGGACAGACCGCTGTGGGCGTGGCTCCTCCAGTGGGTGGAGTTGCAAAAACTCCTCCTATGCCTGCGTCGTCAGTGCCCGCTCCCCTGCAGGTTGGAAGAACTCTTCATTACAGTCTCCGCCTCCACACAGAACCCACAACATCACCTGTCCATAAAGTCCCGCCTCCCTCCTCAGCAGTTGCCCCACTGTCCGTTGAAGGGCGCAATGTTGGCTCCGCTCCGCAGGGGGCCAAAGAGGCTTTGCTGCGTCATGTTGGAGGAGGCAGCACCCAGGGCCTCCCCATGATTGGTCGGCTTACCCAGGAGGCCAGACTGCTCTCCGCCTCCCAGCCGACTCTCCCCCACCGCAGCTGGGCGAGCGTGCAACCTCACCCGCCTCTCCATCGCAAAGCATCCGGAGGAAACCTGCTTCCGGCACCCTTCGCTTTGTCATCAGGACTTGCTAGAGGAGGAAGTGCAGGTGTTTTGAGCTCAAACGCGCCTGGTGCCACACAGGTGCCGACACAAACACCCCTGCTGTTGGCACACACACCTCCACTCACATCAGCTCCAGGATCAACTCCGTCACCCCTTGCCCCCTTTTCGTCCTCCCCGAAGCAAACCCCTCTTTTTTCCACCAACCCTCCTTTATCCCTCGCGGCCACATCTTCTGGTCTAGGGGTTCCTCAAACCCAGCGAGTCAAAGCAGGCACTGCGATACCTACTCCTCCTTCAACCTCTCCTCCTCCTTGCCTACACCCTCCTTCTCCCTCTCAGTCCACCTCCACCTCTCCAACTTCATCTTCCGGCACCTCTTTGGCTCAGAATTCCCGTACCAAACCCTCTCAGACGCCTCCTCCACCGTCCCCATTATCCTGCACCACCAACTCAACGCCCACCATCACTCCTTCTCAAACCCCCACCCCGACCCGAACCCCAACCCCCGTTCAAACCCCTATTCAGACCCCCACCCAATCTAGAACACTAGTGGCCATCCAAACCCCATCCCAGGGTCGGTGTCCAACTCCTGTCCAGATCCCAGCAGCTGCACAAGCTCTGACCTCAACCTCCATTCAGAGTCCGCTTCCCACTCAGACTCCAAGTAAACCTATGAGTTCCACCATGGGTCAGAGTGCTGCTGTCCAGATGCCAGCCACTGTCCATGTTCTTGGTCCTCCTTCGACTTGTTCTGCAGTCTCCAGTCAAACCCAAACCTCAACTACCATACAGACTCCAAATCCTTCCTGGACCCCAGGCTCTCCCATCAATACCGCAGCCCAAAGTGGACCGTCAACCCCTGTTCTGAACCAGTCGCAGACACAAGCCACACCTGCTAAAGCTACCGCTGCTGCTGCATCATCACCTTCTCCTTCATCAACTCCATCTCCAGCTGCTTCACAGCCACAGAAGCCCGCTGCTAGCCAGAGTCAGACCTTAAACGTTCTGTCCACTCCAACCTTAAGTCCATCTCCCATTCCTGCTTCCACTGCCTCCTCATCTACAGTCCTCCAGCCCATCTCCACTTCAACAAAAGAGGCAAAGAAAGAGCAGGACTTGCCTCAGACGCAGAGAGATTCAGAGACAAAGACACAAAAATATCCTGCTAGCATGTGAGGAGGGAGGTGTGCGCTGGACAGAGGCTCATGTTTTGTCCGAGGTGAGTTTAGGAGATGAGATATCACAAGTCAGCTGTATCAGTTCAGGCTCTGCAGGTTCCATGAGCATGCTGTCTGCGTTCGACCCTCCCTGTGATGGTCTGTAGTTATGACCACGGGAAGGTTTAACATCCCTGACTAATCAACTAATCACGGTAAAAACAGAAGAGCAGAACATGTTTGGCTCAAAAGTAGAACTAGTGTGTCTGTGTTGTCCAAGTCATCTGGGAATGTCAGGTAGAATATTTTTGTAGTCCTGCTGAAAAGACCAGCTTGAATTGCAGCGGTCTGACTGGTGAACCAATGTATTCATGTTGATCTCCAACAAAACATGCTAGATACAATGGATTCCAACCCTGTTCGTGGAGCCCCCAACACTGCACATTCTGCATGTTTCACATCTGATTCAGGTCATCAGCTCTTTAGTAGAGACTCCAAGACCTGAAATGGGTGTATCGGACAAAGTAGACATTGAAAATGTGCATTGTTTGGGGGCCTCCAGAAACAGAGTTAGGAACCACTGTGCTAGTGAATGAGCATGATCTTTCGACAGAGCCCCTAATGTGATATTTGCAGAATAGAAACACTGGTCTTTTCAACAGGGATCTGATAAATTAATGCTTTTAATCTTTCACAGAATAGACGCACATTCTTGCCAAAAATGTCTTAAAGGGAATGTAACTGCAAAACTGCCACCACCTTAAGATGCATTTGCACAGCCTTGTAAAGATAAAAAAAAAATTCAGAACATCAGAGAATGTTTTATAAGATCGACACTGTTCTAGCCATGTAACATCACCTCCAGAACACAAGCAGCATTTTCAGATCAGATCACCCACAACCTGGAGACTATAAAATGACCTCTCTAAGCCGAGCACCAGCTAGGGAATTACCATCACACCTTCTGTTATTCAATATTAGTGACTGAACTTCTGTCACAGGATTAGAACTATCACAACTCATTTTGCACTTTAGTTCATGAGTCTAATGTAAAGTGTCCTGGAATCCCTTGGGCACCATACTGGAATAATACATTTTGAGTCTGGAAAGTCGTTTCGACAGAACTAATCTGTGTGGATTTAGTGTACACTGCCTGTAAACTATAAATGGTGCATTGTACATAGTGTGTTAAGCAGAAAATTTATTTCTACATGAAAAAACAGAAACTGCAATTTTAACCAGTTTTGTGTACTTGTGTTTTGTCGTTCTCTTTGTCAAACTGTTAGCCGGAGATTACCTGAGCAGTATGCAAATCAAAAGAATTCAAATCAAAATTTAAAATCTCACCGCCTTGAGACGCGAGTGAAAAACGACCAAAGGACATATTTAGGGAATCAAATGATGAAGCAATGCTACAGGATTTCTTGTGTGAATTAATTTTGGCTTTATATTCTCATAGGAAAGGAGAACTATTGTTGCTATGGCTAGTTTCCATTTGGTGCTTCCATTGATGCAAGAATATATAAGCAGATTCCCTAAAGGGACACTGTGATGGAACAAAATGAGATTGCATTTCAAAGCTTTTGCATTCTCTCACAAAATGTTTGCGTTGACCTTATGTGTGAGGCTTTTGGTTAAAGCGTTTAATGTTATTTTACTGATGGCCCGTGTCAGCATGCTCAGAAACCTCACCACCTGAGTCTGCATAAACTGACTGACGTTTAATATCTGAAAATATCACCCTTGATTTCCAGCTTCTCCCCTCTCGTCTCTTTTTTAATCACCAAAGTGTAATATTTGCCCATTATATAACTAATAATTAGGATCACAGATGTGACAATACTTTTTAAATAACTGTAAAGAATATATATATATATATATATACTGTATATATATATATATATATATAT